TCTCTACGTGGGGTTGCCTTTGAAGACTGCCCGGAAGCTGCAGCAAGTCCAACGCGCGGCAGCCAGATTACTAACGGGGGCTGGGTACAGGGAGCACACCACTCCGCTGTTACGCCAGCTCCACTGGCTGCCAATTAGCTTCCGAGCACAATTCAAAGTGCTGGTGTTGACCTATAAAGCCCTAAACGACTCCGGCCCTGTTTACCTCTCCGAATGTATTCTCCCCTACGAACCATCAAGATTACTAAGATCATCTGGAGAGGCCCTGCTCTCGGTCCCACCAGCCTCGCAAGCGCGGCTGGTGGGGACGAGGGACAGGGCCTTCTCGGTGGTGGCCCCACGACTCTGGAACTCTCTCCCTCTGGAGGCCAGAACCGCCCCATCCATCCTAACATTTAGGAAACGGGTGAAGACGTGGCTGTGGAGTCAGGCCTTCGAGGAATGAGACAACACCATAGGACTCTGGATGGAAGTGGATATAGATCCATCTTATTAGGACGACTGACCACTGTAGTTTTATATTTAGTGTTTTTAAAGTTGTTTTGTAATTTGTGATATATGATATTTTAATGAATGTATATATTTTTATGGCTGTAAACCGGGCTGAGTCCCTCGACGAGGTTGAGAAGCTCGGTATACAAAACTGTGAAATAAATAAATAAATAAATAAATAAATAGAAAATTTCAATGGGGATGAAAGCAGGATATTTTAAAAACAAATTATTACTTGCTGTGCATTTTTTTCCATTCAAGGTGTGACATTCAGGATGAAATCTTGTACATACTTACCTTAACCTTTATAGGTTAAGGTAAGTATGTACCTTACTACACTGTAGCATACAAGTTATACAGGTAATGAAGTTAGGAACATCCTATGGATAAAATTTGCATACAGTAAAAGCTGCTTAAAATACATGTTGGCTAAAAACAAGGGACTGTGGCGCAACTGACTGGAAGTCAGCTGCATTAAGATCACTACTGACCGAAAGGTCATGAGTTCGAAGCCAGCCTGGGTTTGAGTGAGCTCCCAACCAAAATTGTGTAGCTTGTTGTCAACTTTTGCAGCCCGAAAGACAGTTGCATCTGTCAAGTAGGAAATTTAGGTACCACTTTGTGGAGAGGGTAATTTAACTGATTTACAAGGCCGTAAAAATCTCCAGGAAGTATGCAAAGAATGAGGAAGTGACAGCTCCCCTGGTGGCCAGAAGCTGGAATGTTAAATAGCCTCTGAGTGTCTGTCTATATATGTTGTGTGTCTATGGCATTGAATGTTTGCCATGTATATGAACATTGTAATCCGCCCTGAGTCCCCTGCGGGGTGAGAAGGGCGGAATATAAATACTGTAAATAAATAGTAAATAAATAAAGAGTAAAAAGCTACAAGAAGTGCCAGCGTGTGTCTAGTTGCTTCGGCATGTTTCTGTGATTTTTTTAAAGGCATGTTTCTGTGATTTGTGTAAAGGTGATCACTCGTGTCCAAGTATGATTCTCTTTCAGAGTACAGTATTGGTGGTGGATCCATAAGTGACTGTAGATATCTATTCTGGATCCACATGGTATACCACAATGAAGACATAGATTTTCAGATGGAAAGCAGTCACAACAATTGTTTGCTTGATGTGCTTTCCTCTTGGCACATTTCTCCCTTTTGTCCTGTATTTGTCCCTTCACAAAAGCCTTGGTGCTGTTGGTAACAGCTGACCTCCATTTAGAGCACTCGAGTGCCAGGGATTCCCAGTTCTCGATGTTTATGCCATATTTTTAAGGTTAGCTTTACGCCCATCTTTAAATCTCCATTGCTTTCTACCAACATTCTGTTTTCTGTTCCTGGGTTGAGTTGAATAGAGTAACTGCTTTGAATAGAGTAACTACTTTGAGCGATGGTAATTGGGCATTTCAACAATGTGGCCAGTCCAGCGAAATTGACGGTGGAGGATCATTACATCAGTTCTGGTGGTCTTTGCTTCTTCCAGACGCTGACGTTTGTCTGCATGTCTTCCCAAGAGATTTGCAGGATTTTTCAAAGGCAATGCTGATGGGATTTTCCCCAGAGTTGAAAGTGACATTGTAGATGGTCCACGTTTTCTGTGGAAAATTGTTTTCCAGCAGAAGTTGACCATAGGGTTATATATTACACCAAAAATGTACAAACATCAGAATATGAACATATACATTTAGGCATTAAGAATCAATGTCAAAAGCAAAGTTAACCATAGGGTTACAATGGTGGACATAGAGGCGATATTTTAATCAAATCTGTGAATAATCAAATCTGTAAAAAATAATTGGGCTGACTGTATCTTGCCTTAAACTTGGGATCCCATGTGCCTGACATATTCTAATATGCACATTAAATAACAAAACGGATTCCATGGTCTCATTGTGTATGTGGCATATCTGGACTTCAGTAAGGCCTTCAACAAGGTCCCCCATGAACTTCTGGCAAACAAACTAGTCCAATGTGGCCTAGGCAAAACTACGGTTAGGATCTGTAATTGGTTAAGCGGACGAACCCAGAGGGTGCTCACCAATTCTTCCTCTTCGTCCTGGAAAGAAGTGACGAGCGGAGTGACATAAGCAGGGTTCCGTCCTGGGCCCGGTCCTGTTCAACATCTTTATTAATGACTTAGATGAAGGGTTAGAAGGCATGACCATCAAGTTTGCAGACAACACCAAATTGGGAGGGATAGCCAAAACACCAGAGGACATGGGGAGGAATCAAAACGATCCTAACAGATTAGAGAGATGGGCCAAAACTAACAAAATGAAGTTCAACAGTGACAAATACAAGATACTCCACTTAGGCAGAAAAATGAAATGCAAAGATACAGAATGGGGGACAATGCCTGGCTCGAGAGCAGTACGTGTGAAAAAGATCTTGGAGTCCTCATGGACAACAAGTTAAAGATGAGGCAACAATGTGATGCGGCGGCAAAAAAAGCCAATGGGATTTTGGCCTGCATCAATAGGAGCATAGTGTCTAGATCTAGGGAAGTCATGCTACCTCTCTATTCTGCCTTGGTTAGACCACATCTGGAATATTGTGTCCAATTCTGGGCACCACAATTGAAGGGAGATGTTGATAAGCTGGAAGGTGTCCAGAGGAGGGCGACTAAAATGATCAAGGGTCTAGAGAACAAGCCTTATAAGGAGCTGTTTAAAGAGCTGGGCATGTTTAGCCTGAAGAAGAGAAGGCTGAGAGGAGACATGATAGCCATGCATAAATATGTGAGAGGAAGTCATAGGGAGGAGGGAGTGAACATATTTTCTGCTCTCCTGGAGAGTAGGATGTGGAACAATGGCTTCAAACAACAAGAGAGGAGATGCCATCTGAACATGAGGAAGAACTTCCTGACTGTGAGAGCCATTCAGCAGTGGAACTCTCTGCCCCGGAGTGTGGTGGAGGCTCCTTCTTTGGAAGCTTTTAAACAGAGGCTGGATGGCCATCTGTTGGGGGTGCTTTGAATGCAATTTTCCTGCTTCTTGGCAGGGGGTTGGACTGGATGGCCCATGAGGTCTCTTCCTACTCTATGATTCTATCAGTTTGGGTGTCCATTCACTGGCTCTTGCAGCTAGCAAAGTCCTAAAATATTAACTCGATCCCTCCTTTGTTCTGCTTCCTCACTGATCCTGAAAATCCACATGCCAATTGGTATTCCACGTTGACGTGATTGCGAGAAGAAGATATTGTAGTTATGTCCTCTTCCAGCTTGTTCCCTTGACCCTGCATGCCACTTGGCCCTGTTAGCATGCTGTTGATCTGGAATTGGCACGGCTACTGCTTCCTTGGAAGAGTTGCGCCACTCAGTTCATAAGCAAATCCATCTGGGAAACTATACTGGCATGGGTCCAGAAATCTATTACTTCATTTTTTTAAAAAATGAATGTATTGAGGCTCAAAGTCACTTGGATTTCAGGCACTATGAGTTGTTCTGCTTTTCCTATAAAACAAGATTTACAGTGTGGAGCTCTTGACAATGAGGTGCGGGATATAACAGCACTCTGTACATGTATAAAAAAAACACCTCTTGGTTGCTAATACCTGATATTTAACCCTATTTGCAAACTGTGGTGATTTTGATGACAAGCTCTGAGCCCACAGCATTGACCTCCATGCCAAGAAATTAGCAACCCTGTTTCAACAAGGAAGGAGGAAGCATAGAGATATTATTATTATTATTATTATTATTATTATTATTATTATTATGCAAGTTTAATAATAATAATAATAATAATAATAATAATAATAATAAGTCCAAATTCAGACTGACAGAGTTCTTTAGGAAAATGCTCCTGACTTCACAATTGTGTTAAAAAACAAAGTATGGATTGTCGATGTTGCCATCCCAGGTAACAGCAGGATTGAAGAGAAACAACTGGAAAAGCTGATACGATATGAGGATTGAAAAATCGAACTGCAAAGACTCTGGCTCAAGCCAGTCAAGGTGGTCCCAGTGGTGATCAGCACACTGGGTGCAGTGCCTAAAGACCTTGGCCTGCACTTAAACACAATCGGCGCTGACAAAATTACCTTAGTGAGATCTGCATGCATTATTCGCTGATACATCACACAGTCCTAGACACTTGGGAAGTGTCTGATGTGTGATCGAGTACAACAGCCAGCAGAGTGATCTTGTCTGCTGTGGACTCATCTTGTTGAGTTTCAAATAATAATAATAATACTCATCATCATCATCATCATCTTTATTTATACCTCGCTACCATCTCCCCAAAGGAGACTCAGGGTGGCTAACATGAGGCCAAGCCCAGAATTATGATACAACAAAATAAAATACAAACAGCAAATAATAATAAGTATTAAAAGGAATTTATATGATCATATACATTTGCATTTAGATTTGCGAAGCAACACTGCTGACTACTGTGGTTAAAAAACCCTAAATATCAATATAAGGTATAATAGAGCTATGTAGCCAGTAATTTTAACTAAAGGCATTTGCAACAGAAAGACCCATTCTTGTCTCTCTTTGTTCCCTTAGGTTATACATCTGGCACAAGTGAGCTTCCTCATCCATGCCTTTGGCTCAGCTTTCACCCTGGACCTTGAACTGAACCAGTAAGTATTTTCTGTGGTTGTGGCTTTTCTTTGGGTTCAAATGCAGGGGCAAATGTGTGTGTATGTTTGTGTAGGCAATGGTCACAATTAGTCTATGAGTCTGTGGTCATCAATAGCAACCCAGGCCAATGGTGACAACTGTGTGTGGCTTCAGGAACAATGTTATTTCAAAGTCTGGGAAAAGAGGAGGAATATATACATGCAAACATTTGTACACTGCACTCATAATAATAATAATAATAATAATAATAATAATAATAATAATAATAATAATAATAAATCACACAGTCCTAAACAGTAAGTGGTCCACGCTCTGGTTACATCCCGTATAGACTACTGCAATGCTCTCTACGTGGGGTTGCCTCTGAAGACTGCCCGGAAGCTGCAATTAGTCCAATGAGCGGCAGCCAGATTACTAACAGGAACAGGGTACAGGGAGCATACTACTCCTCTGTTGCGTCAGCTCCACTGGCTGCCAATTAGCTTCTGAGCACAATTCAAAGTGCTGACCTATAAATCCCTAAACGACTCCAGCCCAGTTTACCTGTCTGAACGGATTCTCCCCTATGAACCATCAAGGTTGTTAAGATCTTCTGGAGGGGACCTGGTCTCGGTCCCACCACTCTCACAATCGCGTCTGGTGGGGACGAGGGACAGGGCCTTCTCGGTGGTGGCCCCTCGGCTCTGGAACTCTCTCCCACTGGAAATTAGATCTGCCCCTTCTCTCCTGACTTTTTAGAAAGCTGGTAAAATCTTGGCTTTGGAATATAGCATTTGCAGAATGATGACTGAGTCAATAACTTGACCACACTGACGGATGGTGATGAATTTGTGATTTTACTCTGATGACCTGGCCTTATGTAATTGTATGATTTGTATTTTAATGTATTTTATGTATTAATGTATTATGAGGTTGTGATGTTTTATACTATTGTCTATGAATCTCCTGTTGTGAGTCCCTGAGTCCCTCTTCGGAGGTCGAGAAGACCGGGTTATAAAGATCTAAATAAATAAATAAATAAATAAATAAATAAATAAGTGTCCGACATGTGATCCAATACAACAGCCAGCAGAGTGTCTGCTGTGGACTCATCTTGTTGTGTTTCAAATAATAATAATAATAATAATAATAATAATACTTTATTTATATTCCACGCTATCTCCCCAAAGGGACTCAGGGCAGATTCCAATCATAAAAGGCAAACATTCAATGCCCGAATACAACAACAATACATCTATATTAATAAAATGTACACAACCCAACACAAATTATAAAAATGGAGCATGTCATATCCTAAACTTTGATAGGCTGGCTTGGGGATTTTGAGAGTTGTAGCACCCTGAGCTGTGGCCAAATTACAGATAATCCTGCATTAGAGCGTTTATTTAAACTATTTAGGCTTTCCAAGAACATAGAACTTTGTTTGCCTTTAATATGGGATAGCATTATAAATGTAAACCCAGTTTAAGTCCCTAACAACTAGTGAATCCGATTATGCTCAGGTTATATTCAAAATTCCCTTGATGGGGTAGAGAATCCATTCCTGGTATTGACTGACTTTAGCAGAACTATCCAGGGTGCTGAACCTGTTTGGAAATAGGGTCCAGTACCCCAGAAAACTTCTATAAAGCCAGGAGTAGTTTCATTGCCCCAGTAATATGGGAGCCGCAAGCTACTCAAGGACTATTTAACAATAAGGCTGCAAATGACCCTGTCTGAGACTCTGAAGAACTGTTTCTGATGAGTGTAGGTAATACTGAGCTAGGTGTATGAATTACGCTATGTAACAATATTTGAAACATTTTATGTTCCTGGTTTGAAAATGTTATTTCCTGTTTAATTGCGCAGTATGTACTTTGAAAGTCATGGTTATACCCCAGAAACTTCATTTTTGTGACTGCCACAAACTACGAGGGTTGAATAAAAAGTAATGCCTCCACTTTCGTAACTCCTCAACAAATGGCAGTACTGGTATGCAGCAGGTACTGGCTTGTTCAGTAGACTCTCTTCTACAGTTCCATTTTGGTGAGAAGCCTTAGCATTGAATGGTTGTGTTGTTAAAGTGCGAAGTATGGAACCCTGTGCAGATGATTGGTCAATGCAACTCAAGCATTATATTCTTGACAGCAGAAGGTGTCACCTCAACATCTTTAAAGTTACTCGTCCAGTGATGCACAGTACTCACATCAACACAATCGCCATAAACAGCTTGCATTCTCTGATAAATCTCCTTTGGGGTGACACCTTCTGCTGTCAAGAATTCAATGACTGCATGTTGTTTACGTCACATTGACTGACTGTCTGTGCAGGGTTCCATATTTCACACTTTAACAACACAACCGTTCAATGCTAAGGCTTCCTGCCAAAATCAAACTATAGAGGAGAGTCTATTGAACTAGCCAGTGCCTGCCGCATACCAGTACTGCCATCTGTTGATTCAAGGTTCAGGTCATCACCTATAAAGCTCTAAATGGTTTGGGACCTGCCTACCTTTGTGACCACATCTCCTCCCACAAACCTGCCCGTTCCCTTCATTCTTCGGGGGAGGGCCTTCTTTCGCCCCCTCCATTACCACAGACCCAACTTAAGGGAATGATGGAGAGAGCTTTCTCCTCTGTGGCCCCCCGACTCTGGAACGCATTGCCCAGTGAGATTAGGCAAGCCCCCACCTTAGAAGCTTTTAAGAAGAACCTCAAGACATGGCTTTTCCATTGTGCTTTTGTGTAGTGATCTTTCATCTCCTTTGTCATGCACCTCTATAATCGGTGTCCTCATATTGTATTGTCTCCTGTCCCTATGAAGGATTGTCACTACTACTCCGTTCATGAGTCTCCTTTACAAATATATAGGCTTTTATTTTTTTTCTCATCCTGAGTTTTTATCATTGTATTTTGCACACGTGGCCAGCTCATTGTGATTGTGTTTGATTTTCTATTGTATTATTTTGTATTGTTTGTTATATTTTATGCTTGTCTTATTTTATTTTATTATGATATTTCCTATGTGTTTTGTATTGTAATGGATTTCTGGGCTTGGCCTCATGTAAGCTGCCCTTAGTCCCCTTAGGGGAGATGGTGGCGGGGTATAAATAAAGATAGGGAAACTGATGAGGAAACACAACATACAAACCACTTACAGACCCACTAAGAAAATCCAACAAATGCTACATTCAGCAAAGGACAAGAGGGATCCTCTCACCTCTGCAGGAGTCTACCGTATACCATGCAGCTGTGGACAAGTCTACATAGGGACCACCAAACGCAGCGCCCAAACACGCATCAAGGAACATGAAAGGCACTGCAGACTACTTCAACCAGAGAAATCAGCCATAGCAGAGCACCTGATGAACCAACCTGGACACAGCATATTATTTGAGAACACAGAAGTGCTGGACCACTCGCACAACCACCATGTCAGACTACACAGAGAAGCCATTGAAATCCACAAGCATGTGGACAATTTCAACAGAAAGGAAGAAACCATGAAAATGAACAAAATTTGGCTACCAGTATTAAAAAACTCAAAAATTACAACAGCAAAACAACAGAGGGGAAACAAACAGGCACATAAAATCACTCTCAACAAAAGATTCCCCCCAGGCACTTCCAAGCCATTGAATGCTAATCAAGGTGATCAGCTGAAACATTCACAGCTAGCCCCAGCAGATAAAAGTCCTTTGTCTCACCCTGGTCATTCCACAGATATATAAACCCATTTTTCCTAGTTCCAACAGACCTCACTACCTCTGAGGATGCTTGCCATAGATGCAGGCGAAACGTCAGGAGAAAATGCCCCTAGAACATGGCCATATAGCCTGGAAAAACCTACAACAACCCATTATTGTTGTTGTTGTTGTTGTTGTTGAGGAGTTACGAAGTTGGAGGCATTACTTTTCATTCAACCCTGGTATGTTGAATTGGTTAAGACTTTGAAAAACTATAGCAAGATATGCTGCAGGATGTCCTGCAAAAGCAAAATTTTTGCAGTTTAATAAACTTTTTTTTCATGTTTTTATGATAGAATCAATTAGGAAATGACATTTATTACCCAGGAACAAAAATTGTGTCACACAGTATTATGTTATTCAATGATAGAGCTACTTAATGTGTTCACATTTGATTCTTGTGCTTTAAGAAGGAAGTAGAACACATTATCTAACATAGAGCTCTCTTGTGAGGCAGCCGATTAAAGCAGCAGATTTTTATTTTCATGACAGACCAGCATATTGTTGGCTATTCAAATTATTATTATTATTATCATCATCATCATCATCACCATCATCATCATCATCATCATATTTCTATGATTGGGCAGAGACGAGATACTTATTTGAGCTTCCTTCTTCAGTTGACAAGTAATGGGAAAGGGACAGCATTTACTATTCTGCTCAAATTGGCAAAATTATATGAGGAAGCCCTACTAGTTGGAGCTGCATTGTGTCCTCCTCTTGGCTCTTACTTTACAAGTCCTCTTACAGTGCTATTAGGACTTCAAAACAACTTTCCTAAGCTCTGATCAGTGAGGCACCCAGGTTGGATCTACTCTGCCCTATATCCCAGGATGTGGTCCCAGATTATCTGTTTATCCCACATTATTTGGCAGTGTGTTTGTTGTTGTTCATTCGTTCAGTTGGTTCCGACTCTTCGTGACCTCATGGACCAGAGCTCCCTGTCGGCCGTCACCACCCCCAGCTCCTTCAAGGTCAATCCAGTCACTTCAAGGATGCCATCCATCCATCTTGCCCTGTAGACTCATATAATCCAATTCAAAGCAGATAATCTGGGATCAGATCCCGGGATATAGGGCAGTGTAGATCCAGCCTCAATCTTGGAGCAATCTGACAGAGAATCTACAGTAGACATCAACGTGTAAAGCAAATGGAAAATCACACGTGAGGCATTTCTGAGAAGGAAACTGGAACTATAAATACTGAACTGAATATCATCATACACATTTATGGTCCTATTTAGAATGCTGAGTTCAGTGCGAGTTGCCGCCT